GTCACAGTGAAACAAATAAAAACAATGACAGTCATTTCTGAATAACAATTAACTTTCTCATTTCCCACTGTGGCTATTAATTTGAAATTATAATTTGAGAGTTGATTGTAGATTATTGTTTAAAAAGTTAAAGGATGAACACTTCCTGCTCCCTACAGGATGGAGCGTCACTTTTGTAGCCACTCGAAACCAATTTAAAATATGCCTGCAAAGTCACTAACTTGTATTATTTTTGCAAATCAAATTGCTATCATCCATATGTCACAAGTATTACAATATTCAAGAATCTCAGTGTTGTATTTATTTTGATATAATTTATTCATTCTGTGTCCAGGGAGCATTTTGTTGTTTGCACTGCCCTTCTATTTCAGCCTTATTGTAAATGTAGGCTTTTATGTGCAATAAAAGAAAAGGAGCCACTGGGTCCATTTCAGTGGCAGCGAGAAAACTGGTCTTAGTGCTTTTATTCTTAATACTATAAAGTGAATATTGGTGCTAAAAGCTCACGTTGCGTTGAATGGCAATAGAATTTATTTGCAATATATATATATTTTTTTTCTTTTAAATTTCTTCTCTTGCCACATCCATCCATAGAGTATTTGTTTTAAAATGTTTTTAGTCCTTTAGTGAGTTAATGCAAAACATGTTCAAGTCCTTTATAATGCAAGGAGTTTATTATGTGAACAACTGAGAACACATTTGTGCTGTCAGGTTGCAAAAGGACAAAAGGCATTGTATAAAGGTGTCAATAAGGACAAGGGTAAAAAAAAAAAAGAAAAACATTATTTAAATATACTTTATTGACAAATGCATTGGGTCATCACATAGAATGACTTAACAACGGTGTTCTCGCTCACTTTCATAGCCTGAGGTGAATAAAATCCAACGCTGAGGCATGCAGACTGCTTCTGCAAACATTTGTGAAAGAATGGGTGGCTCATGCTGGTGTAATAAGTCCAGTTGTGAAATAGGTAAAGGATAAATACTTTATGCTGAATGTTCCTGTCACATTTTTATGGCATTATAAAAACACGGAGCTGGTTGAGAATAACAATTCAACAACAGCCACGGTTCCATTGTCAATAGTCAGAAAACACTGATATTTCTGTTTATATGAAAAACATAATTGATTTTCCACCAACAACCAAAGTAATTCACAAGTATGGAGAAAAAAGCATGACAAAATATGTGCCTTCTACATGTATTGAATATGAGAAGAAATTTGCAAAAACAAAAAAACAACAACAACAACAAAAAAAAAGAATGGAAAGCCAATAAACAAAGTAAAATTGGTCATTATTTAGAAACCGCTCTTGCTGCTGGTCAAATCAATATCCACTTTAATATTAACTGATGGCCTTTAAAAACATTGCTCATTTATGTAATGTGAAGATATAAGCAAAGAGCTCTCCACAAAAAAATAGTCCACTATTGCAAAGCATGCAAATAGCAAAGGTTACAGGTGCTTTTCAAAACTTCTAAATATTCCAGTGTGCAATGTTGGAGCTGTAATCCAGAACGGGAAAGAACAGAATTTCACCTTACATCCCCTCATAAGAGTTCTGACATCTTTTCCTCCATTACAGTTCTGATCTGGTTCCAAACCAGGTTCTAAACCTGGTGTCAGAAAAAAGAAAAAGATAGAGGTTCCACCTATCCTTTTTTTTTTTTTTTGCATGAACCGCGATGTCACCGATGAGCCTGTCAGGAATTGATATGAAATCATAAGCTCTTACAATCAGCAGGCAGTTTTAACCTGAAACCTTCAGTTGTTTCCCAGGAAGCTAAGATGAAAAGGGATTTCCTTTTCAGTTTGCACAGGCATTCACCCTAATAACAAGAAAATGGCTTAAACAGAATAAAATAAAGGTTTCAAAACGGCCTTTTTGGAAATCCAAACTAAATCTGCTGGGGGCGGAGTGGAGTGGCTAATTATTGTTTTAAAGTGAAGATGTGGCATGCTGATTTACCTACCGATCGTTGTTATTTAATCACTAGTGCTTCAGCATAGTGTGAGATCCATGATGTGCACTCTCAGTGACCATGTTATTATCCCTCTTCATTTCCTCCGTCACAGATTTGTTTGTGTTTTAACAGAATTTTACAGGATGTACATCACATTAAAAGAGAAAAAAAGTTTGTGATTTTTATTTATTTATTTGCTTTTTGTTTATTCTACAAAAAATAAAAAGTCATTTTAACCGGAGTGTGTTTTCTTTTACAAACCAATGTTCACCTTCTTGCACAAACTTTCCCACTGGAGTTCTGCTCCTGATTCTCCAGATATATTAAACCGAGTTTCAGTGAAGGTGTTTAAAATTTGTGAAAGTTAGTTGGAACTGGAACTCTGTCCTTTTAAAGTTGTAAACTGGCTTGTGGAAAGGCAGGTGCGTGCAAAAATATCCCAGCTTCCTGTATATGTAAGAAACATTTGTGTATTTCCCTCAAGTTCATTCATATCTCTTCAGGCAAACTGTAGATGTCGGTCCGTATGGGCCGTGGGAGAAAAGGCCTCTGTGCTCCCCTAAATGTTGTTTTTCTCGACATTAGTGTCAAGCCATCCACCGGTGACTGATGACCGATTACATTTCAGGAGGCACTCGGGCTTTTCCCCAGCCTGTGGATTACAGTAACTCTGAGCTCACAGTGGCCGCTACGCTAACCACTGCAAGCATTGCCCAGGGAATATCCTGTTCCTTTCGTCATACGTTGCCTCGGCAGCTGCTTTACAGGAAATGCACCGGGGGAGAGAAGAGGCTTGTCCTCTTGTTTAAAAGGATGTTTTCATTATATAAGAGATTATTATTATTATATTATTATTTGTCTTTCTTTGTAAATTGAAATGTACTCATCGCAGTTTGATCCAGTGCCATTCACGGAGGCTGTGGAGCTAGCTGTTAGTCACTGCCGTCCTAAAGAGTCCTACAATATTAATGTGATAAGTAGACTTCCAGGCGCTCCTTTTGGCATCAGAGATAAGCCTTTGGGTTGGGTTAAAAGCCGAGAAAGAGGAGGAACTGATTGCTGTTTCACTTAGCAGAGATAAAACAACAAAAAAAAAAAAAACAACTAACTCTCCACCTTCTTGAATAGAATCAGGAGGTGAAAGAGTTTTTTTGTTTTTGTTTTTTTTGTCTTTCTTCTCAGAAGGTTTGTGTTTGCTTTTACTTTGACCCCCACTGTTAGGATTTATCATTTTCCCCATTTCGGCCAGTCATGATATGGTTTAATGGCGTGTCATTAATCATAACGGCGCCTCAGTGAACTGTAGGATGTTGCGACTTGAAGGATAATTAGCATCGAGGGCAAGGATATAAACCCCCACTCTGTTCTGTTGCTGCATGTCAGCTTGTTGTTTTGCATTCAGCATAATGCTCACAGCCCACGTACCCCTGTGCACCTCTCTGGCCTTGTGGATCCGTCCTTCTCTACTGCCAGGGGTGAGGTTAACTTATTTATGTGCAAATAAATAAATAAAAAAAACAGGCAGCTGTTGCTAAAACACGGCAAACGAAATCAACATAATTTTTTTTCCCCTTAATTTCTGATTAGGCTTAGGGATAATGACGTTAATAGTGTTATCAAATTTAATGCCGTACATTTTCATACTTCCCTCACGGCTCCACATCCTATCAAGTTTGGAAGGCTCAGTAAACAGATTATATTACCGAGTGTGAATAATGTAGAAGATTATGTTGGAGATAACGGTTTCAATCAGGTAATCGGTGATCTGTAACAGATTACATTCTGGAAAAGAAACACCATCCCCAACCTTTTCTGAAGCGGGCGTCTCTCCCGCACTCTGTCAGAAATTATGCAAATCTGAGGCAATCAAGGGGTTCCGTGTCGTTCTGTCGCGTCTCCTCCGCCTTCATTCACCGTCGTTTTCCAAGCCCCGTCGTGACTTCTGTCGAGCTCCCACCCGAGCCAGTCAACGGTAAAAGACGCCTGAAACGGAGGGAATTATTCATAACCGTTCCGCTGCTCGCACACACAGAAGCCTAAACACAGTTAATCTACAGGCGCGCCGTCATACGTATTGTCTCATGCAAACTAAACGGGCTGGAATGTTTGCATCAAACATGGCGAAACTTTCCCCGAAACTCAGCCCGGGTCTCATCAAGGCCATTCAACTGGTTGAATAATTCACCAGCAGGTTTTCTGTGTGTGTGTGGGGGGGGGAGGGGGGAAAGAGGTAACGGCTGTCAGATGCTCAAATAAGTTATTCATTTTCCATTTTCAAAGCCCGAGGTGCACTTCATCATCCTGTTACCCGTTTTCTGCGAAGCGAAACTGATTTCTGTTTCAAACGTTCTTGGGGTTTTCGTGCAAATTGATTTCAACGCGGCCGTGCCGCTCCACCTGCATTTGTTTTCACTTTTCATATGTTTCTGAAATGGATCGATTTTCATTGGCTGAAGTTTATTTACAATGTGCTTAATGTTCCCACACCTTTTTTTTTCCTCCTCCCCCCATTTCCTCAAAAGTGAATGCACTTCGGCAGTTTGCCTTGCAAAAGTCTGTGCCAATTTCACTGCACTGCCTTCCAACAGTATTCATAGTTCTGTAATTCTTCACAATTTGTCTTGTTTCACCATCAAACTTCAGTGTATTTTATGGGGATGTAATGTGATGAATTAAATAAAAATTAAAAAAACAGGACCAGATCGAAACAAAATGCATAGCTGGAAATTTAAAAAATTGTGAGCACTTGCAAAATAATGGATTTCATTCCTTACAGTTAAATTTTTTTTTAACTCTTGTTGGTTTTTTCCCTTCAATTTCTTTACCTGTAAATATTTTTTACATTATAACGCCAAAGTGGAAGTTTGTGTGAAATGACTGTGTCCTTATCTGTAAAGTATTCTTTCCCCTGTTCAATTGCACCAACTTGTTCTACCTCATCCATACTTTCCATTCATTCCTTTCTTTTTGTTTTTGTCCCTTTCAAAAATGATTGAGTTTTTTTGGGGGGGTGGTTTCTCTCTCTTGCCATTCAGATCCTCCCACAGTGGAGCCTGTGCACATGGAGGTCCGTCAGGGCCTGGGGCGGCCGGTGGTGTTGACCTGCAGGGTGCTGCGAGCCCACCCCTCTCGGGTGTTGCGGTTCGAGTGGCTTCTCTCAAACCGCCTGCTCCACGCCGGCGCCTTTGACCAACACAAAGACGAGACCGAGTACACGATCCGCAGCCTGAACCGCGAAGGCTGGGGGGAGTACACGTGCAACGTCATCAACGAGGCCGGAGCAGGCAAATGCACGTTCCAGGTGACAGGTGAGGAGGCGATGTCTTTTAAGATTTACTCTTTCTGTCTTTTTAATTTCTCACTGATTGAACCAACTGTTCTGTCTGTCCTTCAACTTTACGCTCTTCTTCCTTTCATACTGATAGAGGGGAGTCTATACACTTTTGACACATCGATTTTCTTTTCATGCTGGGCTAATTAAACACTTTTTAAGTTTTCCATTGAACTACAGAATCCTTCATTAGTTAGATGTCCTGCTTTCCAGTCAGTTTCCATCATTCCCTGCTATTTGTGTGGTGATTTGAGTTTTGTACGCGTTTTCCAGTTTATTTTGTCCCTCTATCGTCTTGTTTTTTCCCCCTGATTCTCCCCAGCTGTCCCTTGTTGCCCTGATTAGTCTCTGGTGTATTTAACCTCACCTGGGTCCCCTGCTCCCTGCCGGATCCTTGTCTATCGTCTTTGTCGTTCCTGTCCGAGTCACGTTCCCGTGTCTACCAAAGTTTGTACTCATTGTCTCTCCGTTCACCTGTGCGTCCTGGTTTTTATGATTTCCTACATCGTCATTAAACTCATTGTTGCACTTCAAGCCTGCATCTGACCGCGTCCATCCTCACCGTCTACTACACCCTAATTCATGACAATTTGACCAGTAGGTTCCCAACAGTGTCAGATAATGGGAGGGTCATGTCTACCCGTACGTCTTTTCTTCTCAGCATAGGGTTTCCAAAGAGGCTTAAAATTAAAAAAAATTCTTACAATAAACAAAAAACTTAAGTTTTCTGTAGAACTAGATATTTTTTTCTATCAGGTTATCTTTGTGATAAAGATTGGAATATGTAAAAAGCAAAGTTTATGTTGTCTTTTGTGCAAAAAACAATATCCATACATCCATCCATTCAGCGATCCATCAGTCCGTTTTTTCGTCCAGTCCATCCATCTACGTTAACATCCGTCAACCTGTCCATCACCCTCCCATGCTGCTGTCTGTCCATTGGCCTAGGCCCACCCATCAATTTGTTAATCTGCACAACATTGTTATATCAATTTCTCAATCTATTTGTCCAGCCTTACTTCTGTCCATCAGTCCCTTGATCTAGCCATCTGTCCATTCACCCAAATGTGGACATCCATACATTTTAACGTGGTGATTAAAACAGTCAGATCTGCTATCATCCTCTGCTCTCCTACCGTCTTGTACTGTTTCCAGTTTTCTAGTTGAGCATTTCATTTTGCTAACCACGTCCTTCTATGCAGCTGTTCCTTCTACCCTCATTGCTAGACCTGATCTGAGACCTGCAGGTCTACCGTTCTCTTGCCCCTTCATGCTGGATCCAGTAAGCTCTAAAATTAATTTGCAGTTTTCCTCATAGTTTTCATGCCTGTCTGCACAAACGCCATTATGTTTCAAAAACTGATCTATAGAGGAAAGAGAGTATTTTTGTTATCCTTTCTCCTCTTCACTTAACGGCCAATTTGCTGTTTGAAAGATGTGGTTGTTCACTGCAGTTTAGAGCCTTTATTTAAAGGTACTCCTGCAGGACATTAGTGTATCAGTGGTTTTTTTTTTCTTGTTTTTCTTTTTTTTCTTTTTGTAACAGAATACAAAATGTGTCCGGGTCATTTTAAATCTTTCAACTTTTCTTACGAATGAACTCGATTCCCAAACTTCTACAGAAGTGGGATTTTGTATATTTTTGGTTACCTAAGCTGACCGATTAGGATTTTTTTTATTATTATTATTATTATTTTTGTCCTTGCAATCCAACAGGTTGCTGGAATTGTGAAGTCCCTATTCTTCTTACTTCATATACAATGCGTCCATCTTTGAGTTGGTTGTTGTGACAGGACCAAATGAGTTTGGCCACACCGAGTGACCGCAGGAACTTTGACCAAGGTTTCAATCTCTTAGACCTCCTATTAGAGACAAGAGCTGAAGGGTCACAAGATGAGTATTTGTCACTTTAATCCTTTGCCACCTGCTTTTCTCTTTTTTTTATTATCTTCCTTTCTATCTCTTAGCGTTCTCTAATCTTAAAAATGTCAGCATTTCTGCTGCTTTTCTGACCCTCTTTGTGTTTTCATTTTTTTCTTGATCCTTCTTTCTCCTTTTAAGCTTCTCCTGCAACGTGCTGTGAAGAAAAGAAATCGGGTCTGCGTTGCATAAATCAGTCATTCCTGGTGAACTAGATAGAGCAGAGAGACAGGCGGATAGTTCTCTTCAGACAACTGTCTTTCTTTTTTTCTTAACTGGGCTTAAGGTTTTCCTGATATTTCTAACCCCTTCTTTCTACTTCCACCCCTTTTCCTCCCCTTTCATCCTCCTTTCCTCCCACTACGCATTGCTTGATTCCTCCTGCCCAATGCTCCAGATTCCTACCATCTGGTCTCAGTAGCTGCCAAAGGTATGGAGGCTCTTTCAGTAACTCCCTGAGTGCAGGAGCACAGTGCAGAAAATCCACTTTGGTGCCCTCCATCATCTATGAAGTCTGCCATACCCCGTTCCCATAACCCCAGTTCTTAGTCTTGACGATTTTTCAATTTTATCTGAAACTCAATAGCCATGATATCAGCACCACTGTGTGTGTGTGTGTGTGTGTGTGTGTGTGTGTGTGTGTGTGTGGCTGAAATGAATAATATGCTGTAGAAAGATAGAGAGAGTCCTTTCTTAGCTGAAGTTCATCAAATATCTTTTATGGTTTATGCAGTTTGGTGAAATATTAGTTTACCGTCTCTACGGAGACCGCCTTAATGGATATTCCCTCACACCTGCATTCCTGACGTTCCTGGGCTGTGCTGATGAGCAGCAAAACATATCAGTCTGGAGTCCTGGCCCACAGCCATTCAACTTGCGAAGCCACTCATCATACCATGCACAACATATTTTCTTCCGTGCCGACAGACACACACATACACACACCGATGTCAGCAAGCAAGCCAGTCTTGGGCCTACATAAATACTGTCACCCAGAAGAAGCAGATCGTGCCAGGGGAGAGCGTTTGTGCACATGCATGGATGCCCATGTTCCAAGCTATTGGGACATCTGTGAGTTGGCTGCAAGGGCCAAGTTGGCCATTAAATTGTGCCATGGGAGAGGCCCCTTAGAGGAATGTAATGTGTACCACTGAGCTTTGGCATGAACACACTGCTGCTGGAACCCTGAGTCTTAGCAAACGCTCTCCTCTGAGGAGATAGAACGGGCAGAGAATTGCTTCTCCGTCTTTGAATCATCGCGCCGTCGTTTCTTCCGTTTCCATTCCAGTCTGATGCGGCTGATGATTAATGCACAGGTTTCCTGTCCAAAGGCAGTGAATGTTCTCCGAAGCAGCAGCTCTTAGAATGAGACGTAGGTTGCGAAACACGCAATGCTTCGAGTTTGTTTTACTCCAACAATTTATAATCACTGGAATAAAAGTCTTGCTGAAGGCCGTTCCCAGCAAGGTGAGATATTTTAAAGTTTTAGTGTTAAGTGAGAGTTTTCACACTAATCTGTATTGCCAAAAATAACTGTACATAACAGCAACTTCATTTTGTCTCGTTGTTCTGTGATGCGTATTCATAGTGAAACTCCTTTCATGGTAGGAGTTTCACTACTGGAAAAATAATTTGTTAGCAATTGTCTATTACTTCCTTTTTGCAGTATAGCTTTTACTTTAACATTTTATCTAATTTAACTAAAGCTGTTACAATCTTAAACAGGAATTTTTCGAAGGTGGTCACTGCACAGAGCTAAATATTTGGTCTGTTTTGAGTGTTTCTAAAACTGTTTTTGGTCTCTGTTTGCTCATCTCTCCTGGCTTCCTGTTGTTAACCAGAGATGAATAGATGAATTGCTTGAATAGTTCAGATGTTTTTGTCAATAGAATTTATTTTATTATTGTTTTTTTTTGTTTTTTTTATCTAAATCAGCCCAATGAACTACGAAGTTCACTTGTTATTCAAATGTAGCAGTTGGTAGAGATGAGGTCCCCAATGTTGCTTTTATGCTGTTTATTTTTGTTTCATAAATGGCATTGACATCACTTTGCTTTTTGTTTATTTTTTCTCTCTTTTTTGCGTGTTTTAATAAGACATCCTTGGTCTTTTTGGATCAATTTGTATATTTTATATCATTTTTTTTGTCTTTTAAAAAGAGCAGGAAGTACATCGATTTTTACCTTGAAACCTTTTCATTCAGTGTCTTTAGAAAAGGGATTCTAAAAACTTAATCAACATCAATCTTTATAAAGCTTTGGCGGTTTTACGTAAGTTTTGCTTCCGTGTTTTAAACTTGTCGCCAGTTCCCACAGCTTGGATTTTATACATGCTATAGGTAGCTTATAAAAATGTTTTCTGCTACATCCTGTTATGCTGTTTTTCTGCCTTGTTGTTTTTTAATGTTGCATTACATTTTCTCTGCTGCCTCTCTGCATTAGTGAAATTATCTCAAGATTTCTCACACTAGAACAGCCAGATTTCACTAGAAAGAGAAAAAGAAAACTGTATAAATACAAGTTTATGTTTTAGCCTTTTTGTTAATTGAAAAAATTGATATTCCTTTGTCAAAACAGTGGAATGCAGTGAAGCCATTTCTTTATCATTTTTCTCTTTACCATTGTGTTTTGTTTTGTTTTGGTTATGTTGTGCACCCAAAGGTTATTACATCGTCTTCTGAACGTTGCGACGCCACGGCTGCAGCTTTCCTGAAGATGAACACACATGTAAATTCTCAAAAAGGAAAAAATAAGTCTGCAAATAAGGTCAACTTCTTGCCTGAAGGTTTGTGCTGAGCTGTTATGAATCACTGCATTGGTTATGGTGTTATAAACAGGATTTAAAAAAAAAAAAATCAATTAAGCCCTCTGTGCTTTATGTTTGATGTCTCCCACCCAGAGTTACCCGTTTCAAGCAGCCTAAGTGGGTTAGGTAATGCGCTTTACCACACATAATGTGTGATTAGGAAGTCGGTCCATTTTGCTTTATTATTGTACTTTATATTTGAGCGATTTTCAAAGACCGAGTTCTGACTGTGCGCCAAGAAATTTCTTTTTGATATATATATATATTTTTTCCTCTAAGTGCCAAGTAGTAAACAAGTAAAGGTTGATATGTAACCCGGTTTGCTGCGAACGTCGGAAACAATATACATTTGTGCGATAAAAGAACTGATCCACACCTTCCAGAAGCAGCGTCTCTGTGGGATTCTGAGTCTGTTTAATTAACCTTTCTTCACTTTTGCTTCGCAGCAAATTGCGGCATCCTCTTTTCCTTCCCAGCACTATCTGTCACTATCTTCTAGGCAGGCTTATGTAACACTTTGCTGTACAGTCTGCTGTAAACACAGCTGGCTCAATGCAGCAAAACAGAGCTTAGCGAGGTGCAGACAGTAATTATCCCTGCATTCGTGTTCGTTTTCTTTCTGCGAAACGTGTTTATTTTCGTTTCAGCACGTGCGCTCTCCTCTGGTTCGTCTCGGCGAGATGCGGAGGCGGCCTGCGCGGCGGCATCACCATCACTTCCTGTTTGTTAGCTATAGCTTTAGCCAGCAGAGGACCAACGATGACCTTTTGAGGCATATTTCTCGCTTCGAACGAAACCCATGAAGAATTTGTCTATAAATTACTTTGTTTAATCATCAGCACTGTTTCTTTTGCCAGAGCGTATTTGTTTTCCTCTCTGAGTGATTTTATCAAGATGATGAATGAATGTTATTTTCTTCTGTATCGCTGTTTTTTTCCTCCCCCCTCCTCTTCTTCTTCTTCTTTTTTTTAATTTTAAATACCTCTATCCGTGTAAAGGCCAAATGATCTGCAACAGGCTGCCCAAAGCATCATTAAGCTGATTTATTGTCTAAAATGCAGAACAAAACCCACTGTTTGCGCAGCTTTGACTTGTTGAGTTATTAAGAGAATTGATTAAACTATTTAGAGGCTGCAGGAAACATCAAATCTGGCAATTTTCAATAATTACACATGGAGTGTTTGGCTGTTTCAGCTGTATTCAAAGAACTTATGAAATTCAGCGTTAAGTGTTATAAACATGTTGTACAGCTTTGTTCATCTTTGTTTAAGTCTTTAATTCTCTTTTTCTGATATCATAGATTATGACTGAGACATTTGTGCACCTAATTAGAACACCATTTTATCTCTGTATTTAATACAATATCACACATTTCTCTTTTGAGATGTTATCACAGAACTTACAGTTGATATAAATATAAATATGCCGCACATTAAGTAAGTAAGTAAATAAGAATTGTTTTCATATTGCTCCTTTCAGGACTCAACAAGTGTGAAATCTGATCTGATTGAGTTTCAGCTTTGTTGCATAAAGAAATTGCCAAATAAAATTCATGCATGCAAAGAGGCTGGAAACGAAGCAGAAGCAACCAAACACTGTAACTGCAGCTAGAGGTGGTTGCACAAACTATCGAGTTTGAATAAATAAGCAGAAGGTTTAACATTTCTTGTTAGCAAGGATTTTTTCTAAGCCATGTCTGGTTTTCCTTCCACTTCGTAATTATTGCTTTACTGTTTATCTCAAGCATAGAATCTCAGTCAGATGTGTTGTAGTAGCCTGTAGATGTAATGTGACATTTTAAAACTGAGGAAGACTTTTTTTTTTTTCCAACTGCAGACCTAATAGTTCCTCTCGCGCCCCATATGGACTAAATTTATTTTACATTAGCTTGAGATTTACCAAGTTAGGAGCTGTCCAGTGGTGCAGATTAACTTTTATTCTCATTCTGACAACAAAAAACTAATTGGCTTTGTATCAGTATCATAACTTGGAGTAACTTGGAGGCTTTTTTAAACTTAAGCACTCGCAAAAGACGACTTGGACTCTGACTAGATTTTCAGTTTATCACAGGCCTAACACACTAACATTTAAATATTGCCATTAACATAACCTTATATCACCTATTATCCACATAAAGTACTTTAAAAATCACCACATGTCTGTGTGAAATCCCCGTGTGGTTTATGTGCTCTAATAATGGCAGCTCAACTGCAGCATGGCCATTAAAATCATCTGCTCTGGGTATTGTCATCCTACAATAAACAAGCCCAGATGCCAAGGACAAACACAGCACAGCAGGTCATTCAGGTGGATTTCAGGTTTTCCATGGAATGTCGTCCTCTGAGCTCAGCGTACAAGTCAGTGTTTTCTTCAGTTGTCAGAAATGAGCTTCAAGGCTAGAAAAATATGTTGTTTTTTTATTATTATTATTATTATTATTATTATTATTGTTTCAATATTGTACATCTTCATAGATTCTAACAAAGTAAGCAATGTTACTGAAAAAATCCTGTATACTTTTCTTCTTTTAGTCTTGGCAGGAAGCCCAGAGAGTACATAAATGTGTTGGACTCATTGCATTACGTTGGTGTCACGTTACTGTATTTGTGTAGATTCAAGAGCATTCATGTGGTGTGTTGTGATGCAGGAAGCAAGTATAAAATGTGCTTAAATTGTGTAGCAAAATGGTTCTCACTTTTTTTTTTTTTTAAATTGTATCACCTCAGGAAATACGTCAGCAGTACGGTGGTACGTTTGATTTTTTTTTTTTTTTTTTCAGTTTTTTCCCCTTTTTAATCAAAACAAAATATTTCTATCTGCTGCTTTATTATGAGTTCCACTTGTATGTTGATGTTGGAAATTTGTGTTTTAAGTGGGAATATTTTTGAAGTGAAGTCTGAATTTCACGCAACCATACACAAATAACCCACATGGTTGAAGTTCATACCAACACATCAGATGCAGTCTTGATTTAAGACATATTCTCCACTCTAATTATCTTTAGAGAAGTATGTTTTAAGTAACTATTTGTCTTTCCAAACAACTAATTATCATTTTCTTGAAAATAATACACAAAGGTTTCTCTGAGTCCACTAAAAGTGTCATTTACACCACAGTTTGAGAACCAAAGATGCAGCTGAATAACCTTTTGGATTTCCTCTCTTTGCTTTTCTGACATGTTTGATTTTGTTTTTACTCCACAGAGAAATGCAGACTGTTGGTCCATTTGCTTAACGGTTTAGCTTTAAAGAAACATATTCTGTTACTGTGAAACATTCTTCTCAGTTTAACTTAGTTGTTTCTGTGGTTCTGATAGAGCTGTAGAAATTGCTTAATTTAATTTATTTTTGTTTTTAAGAAAAGTGTTTTCAAGGCACAAAAGTATAGAAAATTTGAAGCCACTCAGTAAAATCTTGTAGCTTTATATACCAGCTTCTGATGTGTGCTGCGATTTTTCTGATTTGTTTTGTTTTCCAGACCTTTTGACGATGCAGAGAACAAATTATATTGGTTTTCCAATTGAACACTTAATATTTTGCTGCTACCGTATTTATGAGCAAGGAAAATAAAATCAGCTTTTTGTGCATGTTCTGTCTTGCTCTATATATTATTCTCATAAGCATGTGGCCCACAGACTGATTAATTTTATGCATTCTTAACGGTAATTGAATTTTTATTTTTTTTTTTATGTTTCAAAACTAACTCATAACGGGACGGATAAAACAACAGTTTGATTTCTGCAGAATCCTTAGCATGATGGAAGCGCTTATCTGATCAAAACACCTAAGTTAACGAGAACAAACCACTCTGATTTTTCCACGAAGAAATGCCCCTCTGGTCTATCAGGAGCTAAATAAATCTGAAGAAGGGAATAGCACTCAGCGAGCAGTTTCTGGGGAACTTTAAAGAGGAATTATTTTGGCTTTGGGGTCTTTTTTCTTTTTTCTTCTTCAGTGTGGCAGCAAAAGTAAACAGCCTACAGCCCACAAAAGAAGAGAGAGATTACTTTTCAGAGAAAGCTGCTGAAACGCTGAACAAATGTGAAGTTAATGACCGAAATGTTTTAAATAAACATGAAATTTAAATGTTTATCATATTGTGCTTGCCTTTAGGTAAAGCTTACCCTCCGGAGTTTTACTACGACACCTACAGTCCTCTGTGGCAATACAGGCCGCGAGTCTACGGCTTCAAGCTGCAGTGGACCCAGATGAACCCCGGGGCTGTGGACCGCATCGTCGCCTACAGGCTCGGCATCAGACAGGTAAGAATGCAAAGGTTTAAACAAAAAAAATAATAATAATAATTTCATTTTCTTGTGAATGTTTTTGTAACCCTTTGACCTTTTCTCATTTTGCGACATTTTTCCAATAGACAGAAACATACTGCCTATATTATACGGCTCTGGAAAAATGAAGAGCCCTCTGCACTGAACCCCACTGAAAACCTCATGGTTATTCCACCAAATATATCTGAGTTAAAACATTAATATTGTTGTGTCTAAATTAATACAAACTTGTTTTTCTTTGCATTATTTTAGATCTGAAAGCTCTGCATTTTTTTTCGCTATGTTGAGCATTTCTCATTTTCTGCAAATAAATGCAACATTTTTGCATTTTGACTTGCTGTCAGTAGTTCATAGAATAAAACAATATTCATTTTACTTAAACATAAAGAGTAGAATCAGAGAACTAATAATTTTTTCCAGAGTTGTATAAAATGGGGTATGCAAAGGAAGGAACATGAGGATACTTGTATTGGGATAATTTTAAAAATCAATGCCGATTTAAATTTGCTGTCACACTGTTGTAATATTTCAAGTTTTCAAGTTGTGGTAGTTTGTGACCCTGTGGTGGATCTTAGAAATAAATTTACTATTTGACAGTATTTCAATAATGAACAGTGGGGTTTCATTTCTAAGTTTTTGTGAGAAAAAAAAAGAATAATGTGTATTTTGTTGTTTAAATATAGATTTTGTAACATTAGAACATGAACTCTTCCAGCAATAACTGAACACCTTGGAAATACGCCAAGATTAAATTACATGCAGGTTGGCTTTACGAACTTCTTCGGTCACTTCTGGGTTCATCTGAGTAGAATTACATGCCACACATTGTTAAACTCTGTATTGTTTTTCTTCCAGTTTCATCAAATGACAATAAAGTCATTTGAAGTGTGTTGTAAAATTACAAAATGTGAAAACTTGCTTTTGAAGGGCGTGGTCAACTCTACATGATTGAGAAACCGTTTCTCTGTTTTCTGGGTTCTTGGTGTCAGAACTGCAACAATAACTTCATCATTGCACATAAATGTGATTGATTGAGTGTGACGGTGCGATTTACTTGTTTACAGATTAACTTTATGTCTTCAGTGATTTCTTCCAACCCTATCACAGTGGATATTAAGCTTAAATAGTCAGAGGCAAAACAAAATTATTCCAACTTAAACTCAGTAGTGTTTAAAATCCACTGCATTGCTCAGCTTTTTCAGACTTTTCAGGCTATAGAAGCAAAAACCTTTCAACATGAAACATAAGTGTTGCATATAGAAGAACTGGAAGTGGTACGTATAGAGTTTTTTTTTGTTGTTTTTTTCTCTCCATGGTCTGTCTCGTTATGCTTGGTGGAGGCTGTTAACATATTAAAAGCCGTATGCGGCGGTTTTTCTCAAACTGCTTCTGCTTGTGCTTCCCATCAGAGGGGTGGAAGTGGAGCCCCGCAGTGAGAATTAGCACGCACTCCTCTTGTTTTCCCTGCTTCTCCTGCAAACTCCACAGATGACAGGCAGGCGGCATTGATGGATGGGAAGGTTGCATTTTCTCTCTGGGCAATCAATGTTTACCTTCCTCTCTCGGTTCTTTTCTTTCTCTCTCTCTCTTTCCTCGGATTTCCAACTAGAAAAGGTTCATTCTAAATATAAAGGGTTTTTTTCAATTACGGCCACAAACATTGCATTGCCCTTAGAAATTCAAGTTAATGTTGACATTGCAGTTAGGAATTGCACATTTGGATGATGACAAATAAAAAATAAAAAAAGAAAATCAAACAGAAAGCAAAACAAATAAAAAATGCATGCAAGCTGCAATTCTGAATTTATCTCACTCCTGCTCAGAATTAGCAAACACGTCGTTGGTTGTGTTTGTAATGAATAATAAAAATCATGTTCCGCTCTACACCCTGAAGGAACCGAGGGCTTCAAAACACTTTCTAAGGTTGTTATGTTTGTGTAGAGCGATGCATTTATTTGCCTGTTATGTTACTTGGTGGAGTCAGTAAAAACAATATCGCTTCTACTGGGCATTTTGTGTGAAAACCTGCCAAAGAATGCATAATTGGTTATTAAAATTTCAGCCAGTCTTTTGCACATTCTAAGGTTTTAAATCTGTGCAAAGCAAAATCCTGCTAAAATGTAATATTTCCATTTACTTAATATGACAAAAATAATATAGATTTTCTGTGAACATAAATTAATTTATTTTTTGCGTTCTCAACGTGAGTTCGTAATTATTCTTTAGGTTGCCACTCGTTCTTTCTGTAGCTGATTGTATTTCAGTGTTTAGAACAGATTTGAAGAGACTGATTGGATTTATTTATATATATATATATATATATATATATATATATATATATATATATATATATATATATATATATATATATAAATCCATGATATATATATATATCATGGATCACAAAGCAGCAAAAGTTTCATGGCAGTGTGCAAAAGAAAAGGCAAGAAATGCAACAGAAACACGTGGGAGTAAAAGGCTCCTTTTGTAAATAAAATTAAATAAAATAAATAAATAAAAAAAATATATATATATATATATATATATATATATATATATATATATATATATATATATATATATATATATAAATTGCAGAGATATCCCCAGCATTGCTGTGACTGGTGCAGTAAAGAAAGCTCACATGCACACTACAACACTTAAATCTATTTATGGATCCAGCAGCAGCTCCCTTGCCATTCCAAGAGAATTATGATCATTTTCTCCCCACTGCCTCTGAATTAATACCTGGTAGTGGTGAACCTTATGCCTTTATATCGGATTGCTGTGTGTTATCGCCCGGTGCCCTCGTCAGAAACAGTCTGACTGGAGGGGAAATGGGAATAAAGCTGTAGCTGAAAGGTATGCACCAGCCAGACGCACAAAGCATAAATCACAGCATCTGTCAGAGATGCAGCAGAAACGTGTGACATCTGCCCTTATTTTGATATTGTAGCCAGGCTTCAAAATCTTCTCTCTGTTCCTAGAGCTTGATTTTCTTTCAGCAAGATATACCAAATGGTAGCTCTCATACATAGGCTTGATCCTGTATATGTGTAGAATACATAAGAGGAGCAAGCAGAAAAAGTTGTGATGCAATTCATTGGCATGCTTTTTGTGGTGTAGTTTTCAAGTGAATTTTTATCAAATTCAATTACCGTATTTTCCGCACCTCACTATAAGCCGCACCCACAAAGTGTTTAAAAAAAAAAAAAAAAAAAACTGGAAACGTACTTATATAAGCCACTGGTATATCCCGGTTTTCCACAAGGAGGCAGCAGAGAGCTGCATCCTTAATAAATCTGCTATAAAGGACGCAGCTCCAACGCCGAACCAGGGATTCGTTCACCCCCAGCTTATGTGCAGCGGCTCTATTTCCTTCCTGTACTGTCAGATCGACAGCCTTCAACTTAAAAGCTGCATCATATGAACTTCCTCGTGCTTTTTCCATGATGAGCGGGTTTGGGTTTGAAAACATTTCTCCGTCGTGCCTGCTGCTAGCATGTGCTTGTTGTAAATGAAAATTAGCGCTTTCTTCTTTGATTTCCAATTTTGACTTCCAATGATTCACTTCCTGCTAAAGAGCCCCCTGGTAGTTGAATAAAAATCCACAGAAAAGCCACACCGGGCTGTAAGCCGCATGGTTCAAAGCGTGGGGAAAAAGTAGCGGCTTATAGTCCGAAAATACGGTATTTTATTTTTTATTTTTCTAAAAAAGAAAAAAATACTTATGAAATACTTAACATCAGATGAGAGTTTGTTTCGAGCAAAATTGCACAGGAAGACAATGGCCAGGCTACCCGAATTGCTGCAGCACAAAATGTTGTGGCTTCAGTGATAACTCAGCCAAACAATGTCATGCTTTTCAAGACAGACTCCACTGGATGAAAAATACAGCAAGCTCTCATTAAGTTTATTTAGATTTCCTTCCAGGCATATGTGAAAGGCACATATCAAATCATAAAACTTCCCACACAGTGTTTTCCGATTAGCTTGGTAAACAACTGTTTTGTAGGTTTTGCTGCACAGTACAGCAGTGATTATCTACTTTTTTTCTTTTTTTGTTTTGAGAGAGAGATCTTGTTGCACTGATACATAGTTTGGATTTTTGCTTTAAAATGTTTTATTTATACATTATTTTTCCTTGACCCTGAAGATGTGAACTCAAAAATGTGAGTATTTTTTTACTACAGATAGAAAATGTTCAGCATCAACACTAATAATAAATCACCAATAGTGACAACAAAAAGAAAATCCGGACTAAAATACTTGAGTTATTGCAGCTCTATTACTGCTACAAAATGATCAAAACTGACACATTCATACATTCTAGGGACGACCTCAGCCACAATTAATACAACTTGACCAACATTGTTCTCCACTCTTGTACGCCACACTCTCCTGCCTCTGTATTGTCTTGTTGAATTGATCTGACACGTCAGGATGAGCAAGCGGATCAATGGAGGCCATATTAATTACATGCTGGTAATCCATAGACGATTTGCTCCTGTCAAACTTGACGCCGTCCGTTTGATTGTTCTCATGTTGCTTCTGGCTCACAGGCTGACTTTGAACATTGCTAACGTTTTTTTTTTTTTTTTTTTTTTTTTTTTTTTTTTCTTCTCTAACAACTAAGGTAAAAAAATAAAATTTTTTTTAAAAAAAAATTGGGGGGGGGGGG